CAAAAGTGAATTCCAATCATTAAATGTTTAGGACACAATGTACCTTCTTCAGTGTTCAAAATAGATCATCAGAAAACCAAAGCAATTAAAGACCTTCTGGCTGAAATGTCCAGAAAACCATAAAAAAAAAGATATAGCAACAAAATTAGGCCATTCTGTCCATCAAGTTTGCTCCACAATTCAATTACAGTTGATATGCTTCTTGACCCCATTCTCATGTCTTCTCCCTGTAACCCTTGATCTCCTTATTAATCAAGAACCTATCTATCTCTGTCTTAAATACACTCAATGACTTGTCCATCCACAGTCTTCTGTGGTAATGAATGCCACAGATTCATGTCCTTGTGACTGAAGAAATTCCTCCTCATCTCAGTTCTAAAGTGTTGTCCCTTCACTTTGAGGCTGTACCCTCAGTTCCTGGTCTCTCCTGCTAATGGAAACATCTTATCCATGTCCACTGAATCCAGGCCTCATAGTATTCTGTAAGTTTCAATCATATCACAGCGCCCCAAATCCTTCTAAACTCCATCGAGTACAGACCCAGAGTCCTCAACAGCTCCCCATATAACAAAGCCCTTCATCCTCAGGCTTGTTTTCATAAACCTCTTCTAGATCCCTTCCTTTGCCTGAACATCCTTCATAAATATGGAGCCCAAAACTGCTCATAGTATTCTAAATGCAATCTGACCAGAACCTTATACAGTCTCCGAGGTTACTCTCTGTTCTTGTATTCTAACCTTCTTGAAATAAGCACTAACATTGCATTTGCCTTCTTAACTGCCAACTGAACCTGCATCTTAACCTTAAGAGAATCCTGAACCAGTACTCCTAAGTCCCTTTGTGCTTCCAATTTCCAAAGCATTTCCCCGTTTAGAAAATAGTCTATGTCTCTATTTTTCCTACCAAAGTGCACAATCCCACACTTTTCCACATCCTATTCCATCTGTCACTTCTTTGCCCACCCTCGTAACCAGTCCAAGTCCTTCTGCGGCCTCCCCACTTTCTCAACACTACCTTCCCCTCCACCTATCTTTGTGTCACAGAACATCATTAATTTATGGTGATAATGAAGCAAGCAAGGAAGTTCTTATCCAATTTACCACATGTGAATGAATCATTCTGTCAGTTGCTAAAGTAAGACCAAACATGGTGCTGTGGAAAAGATCAACAAATAATAATTGAAATGACAAGGAAATGGCAATTTCACTGGACATGTTGATTCATTGCCTCACGTGTTGCATTGATTGGATTGGAGCTGTACTTTCCCAGATTCAGAGGGATGGCATTGTATGTTTCTCACTCTTTGATCAAAACACAACACAGGATCGCAGTAATTGAAAAAACAGGCATTAGCTGAGCTTATGAGAAGTTTGCAGACTACATTCTTGGTTTGCAGTTCATAATTGATGCTACAACTCTTTATGCATGGGAAGAAACATATTACAAAAGATGCATTGTCATGCATTTCTGGAGCAAGGTCTAAACAAAGTGATATAAATTTTGTTGAGGATGTCGACACCTTTAATTCACTAATCACCAAGTACCTAGCAGCAACAATAGATCATTTAAATGAGATTTGAAATGCATAGGAATCAGAAAAAGAAGCCATTAAAACCCATAAGTGGCGTGTCAAAGCTTGGCTAGAATATATTGCACACAATTCCAATTTGAGGCAGTATTTTGAACAAAGAAGACATCTTTGCGAAGTGGGTGACTTCATAATTTATAATGAAAGAATGCACATAGCTAGTGTTTTATCCTTCAGAGGTCACACCAGAATCACTTGGGTATCATGAAATGTTATGCCAGAGGATGAAATATAAATGGCCCGGGTTTTGCTCAATCACTGGAAGAGATGACTTCTAATTGCTTCATGTGTGCAATTCACTGACAGGAGCAAAGGGAACCACAAATGGTATCTTCATTTCTGTTCAAAGTGAGGGAGAAGGGGAATAAATGCCTTTTCCAATCAAACAAGGAATTGCACCATCACTACAGAGTACACAACCCATCAGACCTCCAGCCTAGAGTCGATGCAGATTAATGATTGAAATTGTCAAACGTAAAGCCTTGGCAAAATATTACATCTATAATCCTTTCTTGTGAAAGCTGAATTTAGAAGAGTGAGAATAAACAGGAAATGTACCAGTTTCTACAAGGAGGTGACCCGAATGAGACAGTAATTCATGAGACCAGGAAGATGGTCTGAACGGTGAACTGGTTTCACCTGATCATTCTTATCCTGCCCAATAGTGTTCAAGAGAAAACTTGGAAAACTCAAATTGGGTTGACTCAAGTTGGGTTGGCAGGTGAAACTATCACAGTAGTTAGCTTAGTGAATTGGGGATAAAGTCAGAGAACTGGGAAGCCATTTAGTGAGTAAAGAGTTAACATGAATATGTAAATAAGATAGTTTACATCATCATAAGAAGTGATTTAAGATCAGGTGGGGGATAGTTTTCTCTGGAAGCCTTATGTGAAATATTTTCATCTATGTAGTTAACATTTCACACATAGAATAAAAGCTAATCTTTGCCCATAGCAAGCCCTCTTGCATTGTTTATCAACCCCATTCCCAGAAATATCCAAGTGGTTTGCCATTTTAAGAGGTAAATGATGAGAAATATGTATTATCATGATCATAGCTCTGTCTACGTCTGGATAGATAGACTGTATGCCTGATATCAACTTATGAAAGGGTGTTGGCTAGGGAGGGACTGGGGAATATCCCTCAGAAACAAAAACTGAAATAATTGGAAAGGCTCCGCAGGTCAGCCAGCATCTGTGGAGAGAAATCAGAGTTAACGTTTTGGGTTCAGTGAACTTTCCTCAGAACTTTTAAGTTGTTCTTCCTTGCTGCGTTCTTCATTTAAACTGCTCAAAATCAGATTTCAGTCCAGTTGACATTAAAAAGATATAAAAAGAAAGAAAAACTAGTGTTTATAAATTTCATGAGCTTGGGATGCGTTATGTCTTCTGGTTGCCATAAATTAATTTTTGATCTCATGCTGCAATTTTGCTGAGGGTTAGCTCACTCTGCCTTTGCTGAATCTTTGGCACAGCATTCCAAAAACTCACTTCTTTTACCCCTATAGTTCTGTAAATGTTTCAATTTCAAGTATGGATCCAACGTTTTTCAAGAGAGCAGAGAACTCAATAAGGGTGGATTGGTGAAACTGTCTCAGTGATTAGCTCTGTGAATCAGATGCCAGTTTCTGCCAAATCTGTTTCCGCCACCTTTTCAGACAAATCATTTTAGGTTGTACCAACGCACTGGGTCAAAGAAAAATCTTTGAATCTTCACTGTTTCTTCACAAAGACCTTAAATCTGCATCATCTAGTGACTAACCCTCCTGCCAGTGAATCAATTTCTTCCTTTTTAAAAGCAAAGTACTGCAGAGATGGAAATTGGAAATAAAAACAGGAAGTGATGGGTTACCTCAACAGGTTTAGCATCATCTCTGGAGAGACATAGAAACAAAGTTAATGTTTTGAGTTCTTCTCTGGAACTCTTCTTCTTCTGAAGAAACATTTCCTCAATATGTTCCTGGTCTTACTTTCCAGAACCAGAAGTGACAATCTGAGGATATGGGGTAGGCACTTTAGAACTGAGATGAGGAGGAATTTCTTTACCAGGAGAGTGGTAAACCTTTGGAATTCTCTGCCGTTGAAAGCACTGAAGCCAAACTATTGAATTAATAAAGGAGGAATTTGATATAGTTCTTAAAGCGAAAAGGGATCGAAGAGTATGGGGAGAAATCAGGACCAGGTTACTGATTTGGATGATCAACCATGATCGTATTGAATAGCAAAGCAAACTTGAAATGCCAAATGGCCCTACTCTTGCTTTTATTTTCTATCCTTCTAGGTCTCCTTATTCTGTCTGGTGGTCACCCATTCCCTCTGTGGCTGCAATTCCTTAAGCTGAGGGGTAACCACATCATGAAATGTGCTATCCATAAACCTCTGAGACTTAAGAATGCACAGGGGTGCTTCCAGCTGTTCTGCAGTCGCTGTCCCTCTTTAACCACACTGCTATTGCTCCCGAGACCCACACACCTCTCCCCTAGTCTATCTGATTTTGGGACCTCTCTGCTCTCACTGTCCCTCTTTAGCCTCACTGCAACTCCTTCTAAGATCCACACAGCTCTGCCCCTGGTCTATCTGCTCCTGGGACCTCTCTGCTCTCGCTGTCCCTCTTTAAACTCATTGCCACCACTTCCAAGTCACACAAAGCTTTACCCACAGTCTGCTTCTGGGATCTCTCTGCTCTCACTGTTTCATTTACCCTTGCTGTCACTACTCCTGATCCCCATACAGATCCACCATTGGTGTGTCCACTTCTGAGTCCTCACTTCACCAGCTCCTTTCCATGGGGAACAAATCCAGAGAGTTACTTTCTCTTTAAATGCATTTGAAATGTTAAATTCCCAATGATTTCATCTGTTTCCAAAAGGCAGCATAACACTATGGCCACCAAAACATCAATTAAGAACGCCCTGTATCTTCTTATGAAAGCAGCCTACACCCACCCATGCCACATTTCACCTCACCATTATATCTTTCCAGGAAAATGACAGGGCCCCTTTAAATGGACACATCTAGAGTTGTGTAGTTCTGTCTGGAGCATATTACAGTAACTTTGTGTTATTTTGCTAGTGGGAAAAGCAAAGTTAATAAAGATAAGGTAAATTAACATGATATGCATAATTGGATGTCAGCATGCTCATATTTTTAACAGCATGTTGTAAATGCCACACCAGCACTAAAATTAGCAGCCCATAATAAGAGTGACAAACGATGAAGATGATGTGTGCTTCAGCACTGTTTCTCCACCACCAGAACCTGGGGTCCTGAATGCTTCACAAACAGATGGGATAAAAGTCCTCGCCTTCTGACAGCTTTTTAAGGGACCCCTTGTGTTTTCCAACAACAGCGCACAGCATAAAATTACCTTCAAATGCAGCAGTAATTAGCACTAATTCAATCTATGCTTGCAGGGAGAAGACACAAGTCGAGCGGAGAGAGAGAAAAAGAAAGTGACACTGGTGCATTGGTGTATTATTCAACACTGCTTGAAATAATTATGAAGCGTTCTTGACAGTTCATGAGCACGTGAATCCCATTGCCCCATTATCCTCAAAGAAATCTGAGCAAAGTTCACTCTGCCTGTCTTCAAAAACTTAAATTTGATCATATATATGTCTTTTAATTGACTGCTAACTGTTCTTTTGATAATTTTTCTGGAGGCTTTATCCACTTGAACTATCACTTTAAATGCCTGAGGGAAGATTTGTACTCAACCTTGTATTGACTACACTTGGAGCACTGTGAACTGTTCTGTTCTCCATATTATAAAAGGAATATCAGCACACTGGGGAAGCTTATTTAAAAGGATGATACCAGAAATGTGATATGTTTATTGGGAAAGAGTGAATGCCCTGGGGCTCTGTTCTGTACAAAAGACACGGCTGAGGGGGTGATCTGAAAGAAGTTTTTAAAATTATTTAATGGTTTGATAGAGATTTTTTCCACGTGTTGGGGAGATGCTGTAAACAAGATTCCATACATATATGTACTAAAATATCCAACAGAGGATTCAGGAGAGACCTTTTTTTTGTACTGAGAAAGCAGTGAGAATGTAGATCACTGCCAGTTGGAGTAGTTGAGGTGAATAATCTAAGTATATTTAAAGAAAAACTAAATAGGTACATGAAGGAGAAAGGAGTAGAAGGATGTGCTGATAGGATGAGCTGAAGTAGGATATGAGGATGTGCATGTAGAACATAACACTGCCATGGACTGGCTGGTCTAAATGGCTTATTATTGTGCTCTAAACTCCACTAAGAGCTGTGGAAAAGTAACATATGTGGGACTTCCTCTGTTTTTCTGGGCATCCTGATAGCCAGGCAGTGAGTTACATATATTTGTCGTGACTCAATGCACTGCACTCATACACTGATTTAAACAGAAGCTGTAAGTAATTGATATGTTAGTCAATGTAAATTGCTTGATATCGTAGCTAGATATGCACATGTTGATTCCAGATAGTTTCAGGTTTCATAAACTAATGTGCTTGATGTGCTTCTTTATGAATATTTGCCTCTTTTAAGGACCTAATTGCCAAGCTTTTTCTGTAAAATACTATATGCTCATAATTAACAGCAATCACTTCATTACCGTCTCTAAAATGACATTCTAATTTACAAATTTGTAACATCATTGCTCGAAGAATATTTGAGCTCAAAGTCTGTGCTGCAGTATTAGTGAACAAACTAAAGTGCTTGCATGCCTTTGTCAACCTTTAGGCTTCACTCTTGAAATGGTCTCTCAATTGGCCTTCCATTCTCCATAGCATGTAGACTTTAGGCCCTTCCAATCTCTGCTGCTCTCTTCTTCTCTCACACTGGAATAAAGGGCTTATCTTATGAGGAAAACTTGAACAGCTTGGACACCTACTGGAGTTTAGAAGAATGAAACATATACTGAAACATATAATATCCTGAGCGGACTTGATAGGGTGGATTCTGGGAAGATATTCTTCTTGGAGGAAGACTAAAAAAGAATGAGATGGAGATGAGTAGAAATTTGTCTGCTTGAGGATCAAAAGTATTTGAAATTCTCTTCCCGGGAAAGCAGTCAAGACTGAAGCATTACATTTATTCAAGGCAGAGTTAAGTAGAGTCTTGATTGACAAGTCTTATGGGAGTCAGGCAGGAAAGTGGAATTGAGACCGCAAGCAGACCAGCCATGATCTTATTGAATGAAGGACTAGGCTTGAAGGATCAACTCCTAATTCCATGTTCCTATGTACTAAGCCACACTTGAAATTCGAACCACTAGTGCTTGTACATTTAATGCCCCCATGACCTGGACTCATTTAAAGATGGATCAAGCGTGTCTAAAGTTTTAAATTCTCATCCATGATTTTAAGTCCTTCAAATAGCCTCACCATTCCTCATCTTATAATCTCCTCCAGCCTTATAGTGCTCCAAAGTATCTGCACACCTCTAAATCTGACATCTTGTGCATTCCTGATTATAATCACTACATTGATGGCTATACCTTTGATTGTCTAAGTTCCAGACTGTGGAATGTCCACCCTAAATCTCTCCACCTCACCGTTTCTACCTTTAAGACATGCCTTAATATCTACATCTTTGAACAAGTGGTTGGTCACCTGACCTGTAACTTCCTTATCTGACAACTTTTACTTTGTTTTATAAAGCTCCTGTGAATTTCCTTGGGAGGCTTTGCTACTTTAAAGGCACTACATAAACATAAGTTGTTGCTCCTTTTGCGGTTTAAGGCAAATGAGCTCTTTGATCAAGCTTTAGTCATTCCTCGTATTGGCTTTTCCTTTTGTCAGGGTCTGTGTAAAGCAATTTCATCCATATTGCAGACAAATGCAATTTGTTGTTGAAGCTTTTCTGGAAGGAAATTTAACAGATCAACTCATAACAGATATTAATTTTTTTGAAATTAATTTGTTAACATCATTCTCAAGACCTTTCCTTTGTCCTTGACAATGTGCCTTGAAAATTTCATTAACTGCTAATGTATGCTAATACCATATTGCACAATCTCACAATTTAAACTTTAAATTTAGAAAAGTTATATTGTGATTCTGTATTATATGGTATATAATTCAATATTATTTTAAGGAATTACTTCCCTTGTCTTTGCTTATACATATATATATTAATGGAGATTAGTAGACAATCCACTGAAATAAAACTTTTGGCTGAACAACACATTTGACAAGAGGTCTCACCTTTTGCATTGAATTTAAAAGGAGATCAATTAGGTGTCAGACCATATCAGTTCCATCCCATGTCTGCTGATATACTCTCATAGGCTAACAATCAAAGTTTAGCAAATAGTGAAAATCACAACAAAGAGTTACATTTATATAGCAATAATAATATACTAAAGCATTCAAAGGTGACTCACAGGGATGTTATCGGGCAAAATATTATACATAATATATACATAGATATATGGACATATTAGGGCGGGTGTCCATAAGTCTAGTTTTCAAGGCACATCAACAAGATGATGGAGAGGCAGCGAGGTTTACAGAGGAGATTTCATGCTTAATGCTGTGACAATTGAAGGTACGGAATTCAATGGTGGAGGGAGAGGAAATCAAAAGTGCACAATGGCCAGGAATGGGAAAGCACAGAGATCTCCCCAGGTTATAAAGCTTGAAGACTTACAGAGGCAAGAAGAATCAGAGTTAAGGAGCAATTTGAACACAAGGATGAAAATCTGAACTGAAGGTAAGTTGGGTGTAAAGTGTATTCCTACTTTGAGGTGATCTCTATTTATGTATTTTAATCAGTAATTTAATCCTTTGTATCTTCATTGTTAATGGGAGTGAACTTTGCATTATTATCAGGGCATTAGGAAGGGGTTCTCTTGAGGGAAAGATGGCAGACAACTTGGGACAGCAATTAATGATAACTATAACCTTTTCCAAACATATGCGCTTTTAATATCATATATTTTATAGTGCTTCATATCCTTTGCAGTAATAAAATTTGACAATATGTGACAAGAAGGAAGAAAACTCATTAAGCCTGTAATGAACAGCAATGCCTCATTTTTTTTCTGAAAAGGCTAGCAGCTGCGGAATAATCACTTTTCATTTCATAATACCACATTTCACCTCTGCATTTATGCTTGAAGTCTTTCTCAAGGATTTTCAATTTCTATCCTGTAACATTTGCAATCCTAAAATAATCTAACTCCATCACTGACTTGTATGTCTCTATGAGTGTTACTGATTGTAGGGTGGCAGTGTGGCGAGGTGTGGTGAGATGGAGGATGGTGGCAAATGAAATGGGAAATGAAATCTGTCAAGGCACAATGAATGTACGAGATCAAGATACTTAGTGTGTCTACATGTTTCTGTCCTGGATGGTTACTTTCTTTTTAACAGTGATAAAGATAGAAAAGCATCTCAGTCTGTTTACACTGTGTATTGTTAATTTCAATCCATTGAGTGAATGTACAGTGTAGAAAGGAAAGTCATAGAGACATAAGGTCATACAGCATGGAAACAGACCCTTCAATCCAAGTTGTCCACACCTACCAGACATCCCAATCTGGCCTAGTCCCATTTGCCAGCATTTGGCCCAAATCCCTCTAAACCTTTCATATTCATGTACCCATCCAGATGCATTTTAAATGTTGTTATTGTACCAGCTGCCACCACTTCCTCTGGCAGTTTGTTCCATACATGCACCATCCTCTGCATGGAAAAGTTACCTCTCAGGTCCTTATTACATTTTTCCCCTTCTCACCTTAAACTTATGCCCTCCAGTTTTGGACTCCCCCATCCTAGGAAAAAGACCTTAGCTATTCACCCTACCCATGCCTCCCATTATTTTAATACATCTATAAGATCAACCCTCAGCCTCTGACACTCCAGGCAAAAAGCCTCTGCCCATTCAGCCTCTCCCTATAACACAGACCCTTCAATCCTGGCAAAATCCTTGTAAATCTTTTCTGCAATCTCTCAATTTAACAACATCCTTTCAGTAGAAGGGTGACCAGAATTATATGCAGTGTTATAAATGCAGCCCCACCAATGTTCTCTACAGCTGCGACATGATGCCCTAACTCCTGTACTCAATGTTTTGACCAATGAAGGCAAGCATGCTAAATGCCAGCTTCGCCACCCTGTCTACTTGTGACTCCACTCATAGTGAACTATGCACCTGCAACCCTAGGTTTCTTTGTTCGGCAACACTCCCCAAGGCCCTACCATAAACTGTATAAGTCCTACCCTGATTTTGCATTTTATAGACCCTTGAATTGGGTAATTATTGAGAGGAAATGTTTATAGAGCCACAGGGAAAAGGGTAGGGGGTTAAGACTAGCAAGACACTTTGCAGAGAAATGGCATGGATACATTGGGCTGATGGCCCCCTTCTGTGCTGTAACAAGAGGACTCCTGTAGTAATCATACTTAACACAAAGAAGTTTTTGGTGGTTGTTGGAGGTCAGTCATCTCAGCTCCAGGACATCTCTGTTGGAGTTCCTCAGGGTAGT